TTGAACCTGCACCCGGACCATGGTGAGAGTCACCTCTCAGGGTATCCTGGTCTTTTGTCTCTGCCCTTCTCTGATCCTTAGGGAATGGATGTTGAGGATCACTCACCTGTCTTTCCTGATGAGGGAGGAGTTAGACATTTGGGTCAGTGAGTTGTATTAAGCAAATGAAATCAGATAGATCCCAACCAATTTGAACCTGGAGAGGTAATCCTTGAATACTATTCAGTGTGGACACTCTAGGAGACCTTTCTTTTTTGCCATGTATTTCAAAAATTCTCACTCTTGTTGTGCCTTTGATACAGCCTAAATCTCCATCGCACTTCAGCTCACCCATTTTCATGTGAAAACTCATCTCTCAGCTTCAGGGAGATGAACTCTGAGGGTGTGCATGCATGTCTGTGCTGTGGCTGGAGGGCAGGGAGGGTCTGAGGGTGCAGATGGAGCCGCCAAAGATTAAAAGCACAAATGTGAGGTTGGAGGTGGACATGTGACAGTGGAGCGATACTCAAGCTGCATTTAACTGGCATGTTTGGCAGACAGCCCTAGTTACACAGAGCAGTTTGTTGAAACCTGCTGGGGACAGGAGCCCAACTCCAGAACTGGGGAGACCTCTTAACTCCGTATGTGGGGAGACCTGGGGCTGGGGGTGACTGACAGAGATGCTCAGCTTACCCAGTGCTCCCTACTACTCTGCTGGTACTCCATGGGCTTCCTTCCCACGCTGCCAGGACTGAGTCCCAGAGTAGTCTGAGGACCCTGCTCCGGCCTCAGGGCAGAATCAAAATAAGGGGCCAAATGCCTGTGGGGTCAGTCGTTCTTCCTTTTGTCTTTTGGAAGTTGAGATTAAATTGGAGATCTTGTTAAAAAGATATAAAGCATCCAACTGGTGTCTGATCACAGATGTCCAGGGCTTAGCTGCTTTGCAGCTGCCATGTGGTCAGCAGCTGAAGAGAGGTGACGGTCAGCAGGGCCATTTCCAGGGCAGCAGGGAGGATGGGACTAAAGTGTGTGGCTGGAGTGACAGCTATTGGACTCAACAGGTTTTGCTGTGTTGAAACAGGACTAACAAGTTACAGAGGAGCACCAGTTGGAGATCTTTGGGACATTAACCCCAGCACCTTCCACTGCACATGAGGTCCTACAAATATAAATGCAACCCAGTCTCAGCCCTGGCAGGCCCCAGGCATTTGACTCTTAAAGAGCCAACACTGTCACCCCATCCCAGCTAGGATCAGAGCTCTCAGAAATGGCTGCCTCAAAAGTACATAGCAAGACAACTGCTGGTTGAGGAGGGGTCTTGGGGATCCTTATGTGTGATGACCCAGGCACAGGATGGAGGAATGGTAAATATGGTCAAGATCCTTGCTTGTCCTCAGTGACATGGAGTGAGGACGAGAAGGAGAATGGGCTCTAGAAGTGGGAAAGGAAGTGGGGGATGGGGATGGAAGGGAAGGGAAGTGATCACTTCTGATCTCACCATCTCAGTCATTAAGTCAGTCACCTGCTAGACACTTCATGCATAGTCTACCCGAACCAAAGAATATCAGGCAAGGTTGTTGCTCCCATTTCATAGAGAAGAAAGTGAAACTCAAAACATTAGATCAAAGGGCTAGAGAGAGGGCTCAGAGAAGAGCTCTTGCAGCTCTTGCAGAGGACCCAAGTTCAGTTCTCAGCACCCACATGGCAGCTAACAACCATCATAACTCCAGTTATAGGGGATCTGATGACCTCTTCTGACCCCTGTGGGCACTGCATGCACATGGTGTACTTACATACAACATAGGTCACACAAAAATAAAAATATAAAATAAAAATTAAAAAATTAGATAATTTTCCTGAAAGCCATATTAATAAGGAGAGAAATGTTTTATGTACAGAAAATGTTAAAAACAGTGTTGGGGTCAAATTCTAACCCTGTACTTGCAGACTACATGATCCTGGGCAAGGGAGTATCTACTCTCGTTTGGTTTCTTTACTCCTACAGTGACGACAAAGCTCATGGGGTCCTTGTGAGATTTACATGTGGGTGGAATCTTTAAGCACTTACAACTCTCAGAGCAGGGCAGATGCAGAATGCATAGGATCCCCTCCTCCTCAGTGTCTCCCCCACCCCCCTGCCTGCAGGACTCCTTTTCACACTGAGAAAGGGAGTTAGTTCTCTTTGTGGCACCTTACCTCCATGACTCCTTCTTCTTACTGCCCTGGAGAGAGCCTGTATTTCCAAGACATTTAGAAAAGGAGACCCATTGCTAATCACCTTGCAAAGCTGTCTGGTGGCCTCAGAATCTTTCCCACTTCCTGTTGCCCTCCACTCAAATCTCCAAGCCCAAAAGTCCTTGGTCTGCCAGCTGTGACCAACCTGCATGTCACCCAGGATAGCTATGCGTGTGGCCTAACACATTTGTGGCAATGTCAAAAGGTTGGATAGCCCTATAAGTCAAGTTGATTCTTGGAAAGGTGCTTCTAGTAGTAGCCTCTGAGCTGGGACCCTCAGCTCATGCCCCGCTACTTTAAGCAGTCATCCAACTCTGCCACCTTGCTGTCTACTATAAATGCTGTTGCTGAACCTTGTGAAGACAAGGGACAGAAGTTTACTGTCTGTTGCCTAACACCTCTGCTGTGGCTTCAGGGTGGTTCTTGAGACCCATTTTGGCCACATCTGCTTAAGGTGGACAGTTCTAGATCCTTGACCATTGTCCCAGCAGACTTGGCATTCTTTAAATGAGCTTTGCCCAAGGTACGGTTTGGTTGGTGGTATGGCTCCTACCACATGGGGCATGTCATCACTTGGTTCTAGTTTTCTCTGATGCCTGGAATCCTTGCATGGTGGTGTATGCTGTAGAGAACAAGAAGAGAGGAAAAACTCACTTTGTGAGGTCCAGTTTGTAAAACATTCTTTTCTTTTGCAAGAGGAGGGTGTGTGGCAGGCTCTCACTCCGAAGTGATGAAGAGTATGGCACCCTGTCTGAAGCAGGGATAATGAAAGGTGACATTTTCCACTGTTTTGGGGTAAGATTCCACCTGTACCAGCTACGTTCAAGAGCCAGGAAGGAGGAGTGCAGTTGGGGTGGGAGAGAGGGGGACTGAACTTCAAATAGGAGCCCAGCCTGCGGGCTCTGCACACTGGCTGCTGCTGCCATCTTCCAAGCTCTGCTGACTTCTCTGAAAACAGATCACGACCTCTAACTTTCCCTGATCCTTTGTTTAGCATCGAGGTGGTGTGCCCCCCCCCGCCCCCGCAATTCAGTAGCTGAAGGTTTGTTTGCATAAAGGCACTTAGTGGGCAGGTTCCAGCTTCTCTGCTGTGGCCCATCACATAATTGCCACCCAGAGACAGTGTTGCAGCACCATCACAGAGCATCCCCTCCCCTCCGCTTCAGTGCTGATGCCACTGAAGGGCTCCCAATTGGTGACTTTTATCCAGCCTTCCAACATGCCAGCTACCGTTTTGTTTTCAGGAACAAGGTTCTTAAATTAAGACAACAGCCACTGTGCCAGGGAAGAAGTTTGGGAGTGCATGTTGAATACGGGAGAGTTTCTCTTCTACTCTCTTCTACGTGTTTCAGATACTGCTGCTTTGATTCCTTAAAGGAATCAAAAAGCTTATCTATTCCTAGAACCTTAAACTTACAATGCTGTAACCTCAGGGTGGAGCCTGTAATATTTGTATACTGTGATTCCAAAGTACCTCCACCTCTTACGTCAGGTAGCTTTCTGTAACAATAACAAATATCTGAAACAATCAACTTATGAAGTGAAAAGGGTTACTTTGGTTCCCAGTTTTGGAGGTTCCAGTCCATGACTGCATGGACCTTTTGGGGAGGGAAACCCCTCACAGTAGGAACAGGTTGTAGAGCAAACTACCCAACTCAAGACTGGGAAGCAAAAGAAGGTCCCACAATCCCTTTCGAGGGCACATCTCCAGCAAACCTAAGTTCTCCCACTAGTCTTGAATTTGCAACACCTCCCAATAGCTCCAAGCTGGGGACCAAGCCCTTTAACACAGGCATTTTTGGAGAACATTATAGATTTGAACCATAGCACCTCCAAAGCCTTATTTAACCCTCACAAAATAGCATGTACGAGTCTAGGTTTTCCAGATGAATCCGACAAAGCTCAGAAGGTTAAGCAAGCAGCTTGCCCAGTCACAGGGCTGGCGGGCAGCAGGGTGTACCATTCTTTGAAGTGTTGGTCTGGGGATTATCACTGTATGCAGATCCTGTGTACGAGACACAGATCCTGCCTCCTAGAAGTGATTCAATGAGTGCATTGAGAAGCCAGAGTAGTGTTATTACTAAATAACCCTCTCTAGGGACTTGAGAGTCCACAGGTGACCCTGGTTTGGGGGCAATGAAAAGGAAGCAGTGTCTTTGGGGATGGGATAAACAGAGTATGAAGTAGGTTAGGCAAACAGATGTTTGCACAGCAGTTGAGTTTCTGCAAAAAGAAGCCCCTGCTCTGGCACTGTAAGCCCAGAACCATCTTACACATACAATAGGGTACTGGAAACATGGCCATATGGGCTGGGCTGACTACCAGGCCCAGAACCACACAGAGCTCCCTTGTCAGGGAGCCACCAGCCAGCACTCAACCCACTGAATTCAAAAGCACATGCCACAGCTGCAGCTGGGCTTCAGGAAACTGCCACCTTCCCGATGACACGGCTGTTCTCTCGAAGTGCTTGGAGCTGGCCAGCAGATACTGAAATGCCACTGCCAAACCCCCCTGGTATGTATGGCATGTTGCCAGCAAAAAGAGCTAGAGGAGCAGGAAGTGGCATTAGATCAGCAGGGTCTAGTTCCTGTCCAGAGCTGTTGCTGCAAAGGCATCTGGGAAATGAGGCTTTGGGCTGGCTGGTTTCCAGCCTCTGTAGAAAAGGAAGAAACATTCAGTGATGGGAGTGATGAATGCTCGAGCAAGCAGAGCAATTTCCAACATGGTGGCCACCCACTGTCTTCTTACTAGTGAAAACCCAACAGATGAAGCATTCTGGAGGGTATTTAAAGCACTTTATTAAGCATAGCAATAAACCCTGACACACGAGTGTGCACTGGCAAAGCCACATGTAGGCACTGTGTCTTTCAAGAATTGCTCATGTGTTTCATTGCAGAGTTGAGAATTTCTATTCCATGAAGCTCTCGCAATTGAGCAGCAAACCTGTGGTAATCAGGACACAAAATCCAGGTCAATAAATGTCACATTTCAGAGCCATACCCTGCAGATGGAAGCTGGCTGGGAACATCAGCGCTCTCACTCCTGGTGGGAAGGGGAGGCGGTGATGGCACTGGGGAGCCCTAAAGATCAAAGTGGGTACATAAGGCTCGCAGGGGGCCCACAACACACTGAAAACACTCTTGCTGTGAATGTCAGGTGTGACAGGCTGATCAGGTGGGGCTGTGCTTTCAGGGAAAATCCCTTCTACACCACCCCAGCAGGTTGCCACTTTGAGCTCATCCTAGCTAATGTGCCTTGCTTTCTGTGGAAGAAAGATTTTATCTATTCCTTCCATTTGATCAATCAGACAGAACTTGAAAGGATGTTTGGTGTCATCCAAACCAGCCCTCTCATTTTACAGGGAAGAATGAGAAGTGCACAGCTTTAAGACAGGGTCTATGATATGATCACCCATCCTTAGGGCCTCCCCCATTTCATGGCAGGGATCATGGCATGGCTGCTCAGGAGCGCCTTCTCAAAGCATGTACAATGGATTGTTTGAGCATCTAACAGAAACAAGACAGAAGACAGAGCTAAAAGAGAAGCAATGCACAGAGTTCAAGTTCAGGCTTCTTGCTCTGGCTTGCTGGGTGGCCTCAGATGTGGGGTTCCAAAGCTCTGCTTCTCCAGAAGGACACAGTTACTCTCATTGTACATTCTTCCCTTTGTTTAGACCCAAGTCAATGAACAAATAAATGAATAGGGTTCTGAATGTTTCCAGAAAGGAAAGAAGGTAAGCACGGTGGTGTATACCAGTGACCTCAGCTTTTGGGAGACAGCGACAAGAGCGTTGTGGCTTTGAGATCAACCTGGGCTACAAAACAAGTTCCAGGCCAGCTTGGGCTATTGTCAGAACCTGTACATAAAAGGGGGGAAATAAAGAAAGATGGAAGGAAGGAGAGACAGAGACAGGCTATATAGCTTGGATATTAACTGTCCACCTGAGGCTCGTGTGCAAAGACTTTGGCCCAGTCCATGGCACTATCAGGAGGAGGTAGAGACTTCAGTAAGTTCAGCCTAGAGGGAGGAATTTAGGTCATTGGGGGTGTGTTCTCAAAAGGGATTTGGGGACCTGGGCCTTCTTGTGTCTTTCTTTGCTTCCTGGCCACCATGAAGTGAACAGTCTTCCTCTGCCACACGCATCTGCCGGGAGGCACTGTGCTGCCACTTGTCCAAACCACAAGTAACCAGAGACTGAAGCGGCTGAAACTGAGCCAAAAGAATTCTTTCCTACTTAAAGTTGACTTTTTTTAGGTATTTTGTCTGAATAACAGGGAGAGAGATGGAGTATAAGAGAAAGGAGAGGGGAGGGACAAGTGAAGTGGAGAAGGTTGGAGAGGTGTGGTAAGAGATGGTGAGAGGACATGTGGGCCAAATCCTGTCAAAGGCATTCCTTCTCAGGCTGGCAACTGGAAACTCTGTAGTTCCCAAAGGTGTCCTCCAGAGACACAGCTCCTGGGGATGCTCTGGGACCTGCATAGAAGGTATGAGGTGCCCACACAGAGTTTCTCACACAGTACTTGGCTTGCCCTACTCGCCCTGGGATGGGACCAACATGCAGGTGACTGGGTCAGGGATGACCATAGCAAACCTGGGCTCAGCTGTGCACAGCTTCCCCAGAGCGATGCCTGCATTCAGCTGCACGGCTGCCTTCTGTGAGTCACTGCCTGCCAGCTTCAAAAGTACTTGCACGATGTCTGTTTTCAGCAGGCAAGGCGCAGCGTTGGGCACCTCCATGCAGTTGCCAAGGCAGAGGGCAGCATTGCCCACCAAAACTTCATCCTCTGAGCTGAGCAGCAGCATCAAAATGCTGAATTCTACAGGGAAAGAAGGGGACAAGGAGCAGGTCCAATGGATCCCCTAAGATAGATCCCCTAAGGAGGTTGGCAAGGGGACATGAGGGGGCTGATGGGGGTAGATGTTGAGCTTCCAGAAACTTGGGGAAAGATAAAGATGTGCTCTCTCCGTGTCTCTTATTGGTGTATGAATGGGTCTATGTGTCAGAAAGAAGACTGTTCGCAAAAGCCCGTTGCTCTACCCCTACCCCAACCACAGTGGGAGGGGCCACCTGACAGCCTGAGTACTAGGCACTGTATCTTTTTAGAAGGAAAGTTCCTGCCTGCTATGGGCCCCAGCCAGTCACCTTCTGAATACGGGGCGGGGAGGGGCGGGATGTAAAGGATATTAGCAGGCTGCTTTGTCCAAGAACCTCCACTAGGAATAGGTAGAAGCCAATTTAGGTTAGATCACAGGGAAAATGCCAACATCCTTTGGTCACATAGTAACACTGCAGCCTCCATATCTCAGAACCTCCAGAACACTCCATGTTAACTATATAAAGCATCCCAAGTCCATGCATGAATAAAGTTAGGCTGACATTTATTCCCCTGTTCACTGAAGGTTGAAGGTGCTTTGATTTCTCCTCCCTCTATGAAGGAGGAGAGCTGGTGCTAGGTCAGTTCAAGCAAATCACTATAGAAACAATTCAGCTCAACTTCTGGGAGGGGAGGGAGCTGCCCGGCTGCTACCCTGTGATCTTTGGGCTGCCTGGCATTCTGCTCAAGGGCAGCCTAAAGGCCAATAGAACTCTGGTGGAGGTGAACTGACGTGACGCAGTGTAAACACTGTGGGGGAGTGATGCTGCCTAGGTCCCTTCTCCTTCCTCAGCCTTACTTCTCTCTGCAACTCCCAGGATGGACCACCCTCTGAGGTATGGGCTTACTTTTATCTAGTCTCATTACTTCTTCCCGAGCCTCGTGATAGCTGTTTGTGCAGATGGCCAGTATCTTTATGGCATAACGCGATGCAGTCTCTCCTCCCATCTACATTTCAGAATGAAATCAGAAAAGCAGGATCAATGCTGTGGCTGTTTTTATCTGGAGGTTGCAGGGAAGAGCTCAGCAGAGCTAGTGGCCTCCTGGACTTCTAAGAGAGAATTCAACTGAGAATGGTACATGCTTCCTGAGTGACCAGGGAGGTAGGGTCATCTGTACCAAGGTAGGGTCATCTGTACCCAGGGCAGGAATGCAGCCTGCCCTCTGTCCACCTGACACCACTAAGTGATGCATGTATACATGTGTGCAGGCAACCAGCAGTCTCTGGCTTGGTCTTAAAAGTTGTAGAGAGAATGAAGCCGGGTGTGGTGGTGCACACCTTTAATCCCAGCACTCGGGAGGCAGAGGCAAGAGGATCTCTGTGAGTCCAAGGCCAGCCTGGTCTACATAGTGAGTTCCAGGGCAGCTGGGGCTACAGGGAGACCCTGAAAGCCACTGTCTAAGTGGCAGTCTGAACTCAGGCCCACTATCCTGCCCACCTTCCCCCTTTCAGAGCATGCTTCCATGCCCTCTCACGCCTGGAGTTTGCACTGCTGTGGCATTAACATGGAGGCCAACCTAACAGTCACTTTGCCTCCTCAGGCCAATCTAGTTTGTAGCTTGGATTCACTACATTCACTTCCTGGGGAAAATGCCAATCCTCTGGTCATGTTTGAACTCTGCTGCCTCTATAGCTCATGAATGGAGTTACAACCAGCACACTCCAGATAATGACAGAAAGGACCATGGGCCCATGAACAAATAATCGTCCAGAGAAACCTTGCAGAAGGCCATTCAAACCATCTTGTTCAAGGACAGAGGCTGGGCTCGAGGGGCAAGCGGTTTCTATGGCTGCAGCTGAGGAGCAATTTGCTTATGTATTCAGCAGTCTGTTCATGTTCAGGGCCTCGCCAGGGGTCAGGAGGAGGAGGCTCCCCACTCTAGGAGTTTTAAGATCTGCATGGATAACATCACGGTGCATTAACTGAACAAAGCCTGCCTTCAGTCTGCTCCCTGAGTTGAATGGGAGATTCATGGACATTTAAGAGGTTGGAACTGGTGGAGTTACTTTACCTTCAGGAATTTAATCATTTTCTTCACCACTCCAGCTTTCAGCGCCACCTCCACAGTTTTGAGAGAAGAAGAAAGTGTCCGGCTCAAAACACCCGCCGCTCTCTGTGAGGACACAAAAAGATGGCTAAATGTCCCTCTTTGATGTCCTTGAAAAGTTAGCAAGGGGTTTGGTGAGGCAAAAGCAATCATTAGTATCAGAGCCAAATTCATCTCTCCATTTTTTAAATCATAGAATGGCCAAAGAATACATATCAAATATCGTTTTTAATAAAGCTGCCAGGTAGGCAGTTCAAGGGGCTAGAGACCTCCCCCACTGGCCCAGGAGCCCAGCTTAGTTCAGCTTTACACAGGCCCAGCCAGCTCAACCCAGAGAGAGTCGGTCCTTCATGGGTACCTCCCAGAGCACTGAAATCAGCAGGACCTTCGTTAGGAGGTGCTCCGCTTCCTGGACTGTCCCTCTTTTCATATCTTTGTCTTTCTGAATCTTGTCTTTCGGTTCTATTTTCTGAGAGATTTCATTTGTTTTATTTCCTAGCTCTCATTTCATTTCATTATTTAAAAATAGTGGAAGCAGTTACTTTTACTGTTTTCTGAGTATGATTCTTGTGACTCTCAGGATGTAAATGATGGCTACCATTTTTTTCTTTTCCTATACTACTTTCTTTCTCTTTCGGACAACTTCTCTGTTCATCTGATATTGATGTGTGTGACTTTCCTAGACTGTCTGATAACACTTAGCTGCCCAATCACATTTATGAGACAAGCCATAAGTTTTATCTGAAATGTGTTGTGCTTATGAGAAGTTTATTGCCCTGATGGGTAGAGAAGTGGCACCCATAAATGCTGGGAAATAAAGGTCTTTCCTCTCATCTATCAGTTTGTCAAGAGAAAAAAAATGCAGCACTTAAGCCAGATGCAAAACCCCTCATGCAGTAGATTTGAATTCCTGAGCTTTTTGCCACGGTTCTGAATAAAGCCTGCCTTGCTGTGCTAAAAAAAAAAAAAAGAAAGAAGAAAGAAAGAAAGAAAGAAAAAAATGTTGCTTTTATGCTGAGAATAGGAACCTTCCAGCTAAATGCAGTCCCTGACTGGACTCTGGTGCCTGTGCGTCTGCGCTCTGGAACTGTGGACTCTCAACCCTCTTTGGGGTACTGCAAAACAAATATGCCACCTCCAGTTGAGTCTCCTGCTCTGTGCTCTACACAAGGTTTCCTCACCTCTGCCTAGTTACCACTTTTGTGATTGCTTTCCTCTATGCACATGCTAATTTTTGCCTGTATACTTTGCCAATGGAGGCCCCTGCCTTCCCCTCAACCCCCAAAGTGTCTCGACTCCCATTTTATGGAGGCCTCCAGAGGGAGAAAGAATAAAACGGTGTATTGTCCTACTCTTGAATGCTCTTCCATAAGCAGCTCCCCACAGACCCTAGAATTCTGCTACAGCAAACATCACAGATCTCATACGCAATGGTTAGTGCTGACTGACGAGTTGATAAAACCTAGAATCACCTGGCAGATGGGCTTCTGGTTGTGTCTGTGGGGGAATATCCTGGATGTGTTAACTGACTGGGAAGACCTGCCCATTCTGGGTGGCAACACTCATTCCCTGGCTGGGATCCTAGATCTGTAGGTGAAAAGGAGAGCTGAGTAAAGCGCTCATCACTCTGTGTTCCTGATGTGGATGAAATGTGACTGGCTGCTTCAAGCTCTTGCCAACTTGACTTCTCTGCCATGACAAACTGTACCCTTGAACTGTGAGCCAGAATAAACCCTTTCTCCTTTAAGTTGCATCTTTCAGAGTATTGTAGCATAGCAACAAGAAAAGAAACTAAGACACCATGTTGGGCTCAAGACTGTGGAAAGTGTGCCTGATCCAAGGACTAGATTCCTGTGGTGAAGCTGTTGTCCTCTCAGTGGGATGGAAAGCCCCTAGGAGGGTGTACACAGAATCCTGGGAAACCCCAGCCCAAGCATTTCCCTGAAGTGGTTCAGGCCCAGCTTAGGCTGGAATTACACACAAAAGCCCTTAGCACCAAGAACAGTGGTACTTATCATTTTGTGGGGCATGGACTTCTACTGAGGATCTGATAAGAGCTGTGACACCCACCTAGAAGAGTTCCCATCTATTTAGAACTTTCTACACTATTTTATAGGTTCCATGGAGTCGGAAGCCCCACTGCACATTCATGGTACTCAGGGTACATATAAGCTTAGGTCTATGAAGTTGGGACTGACTTTAGGTCAGCTGTGAGAATCCCAGGCTGAAGGATCTGACCAACTGGAACCTTTGCAAGCCCTGGAGCCAGTCTCCCCCATATATGGTTCTTGAAGGGCTATTTTCCCAAACTCATCTTGGATGTCACCAAGATCGTCCCTCTAGGTTTTAGGTACTGCCAAATAGAGAGACAAAGAGAAGTGAGTGCGGGGCACATCCTAGGATCACGGCCAGGAGCCTTTTGAATCATGGTCAACATTCTCTGGACGTATGGTACTAGCTACGGGACCTTCTGTTTTCTTAGCGGAGAGCCAGAAGCAGAATAAGGAATGTTATTCTGGCATTTGACCCCCAAAGACCCAGACCATGATGCAAAACAACCTGCGAAGTCACAGACTTCAAAACGCAAGCGTGCAGTTTTTGATACGGAGAAGGGGATTGGGAATAAAATCCTTTGTGCTATCTCATCTTCTGAGGCGTTCATCCATACCATATCTCAGAGTCAGCAAGACCTCAAAAGGGGTAAGACCCACTGACATGAAAACAGTGCTAGAGCAGGAAGCTGTCTGTGGCCCTCCTGGTGATACTTACTGTCAGGATCCCTCCATCCTGGCTGTTTAGCAGAGACAGGCACCTTCGGCTCACCTCTACAGCCCACACCTACAGCCAAGCGGGAGGGGAAAAGGTGATTATAAAGCCCTGATAACTAGAATCCTTTGTGGACTGTCTTCCAAGAGCAAACAAACAGAAGCAAGCATTCCCTCCTGGTGCCAGCGACACCCCTGTGCAGATCTCTCCCACCAGGTCCCTTGTACTGTTCTTATCCCTTCCCATGTCTGTCTCCCTTAGGTCCAGGCAGGAATCTTACAACACTGAACATATTTTATTTAACTCTGTAAATGCAGCTCCCCCAGTTCTAAGCTCAGCACATCCTGCTTATGCAGGCCGCTTTCTGAACAAATACAAGAACGACTCTTCTTGCCCTCAGCAAAGTGACAGAGAGCCCTTCTGATCCTCTCCATCCCCAAGCTGCCAGTGTTCCAGGCCACATGCTTCCAGGGTTCTCTTTGTGGACATGGGATTAAATCAGCGCAACATGATGTAGATGGACATTCTATTCCAGACTTCGAGGGACGGTGACAAGAGTGTCATACCTCAGAGATAAAGGAGACCTGAAGACATAGGTTCATGATGAGGCCCAGAAGGGTGTATGTGATTTCTCTGAAAAGGTCCATGTCCTCTTCACACCTGACCTTGGAAACAAAACAAGGTAACCAATGACCTTTCTGCTTTGCAGCTTTTCACAGTCATCTCTTCCTATAGATGAGGGTCTGGAGATCCCACATTCCTACACCGTCAATATCATGGACCTGAGTGAAGGTGGGAGTGCAGACACCAGTTCTAAGAATCAGCATCAATCTCAGAGCAATGGGAGGGGTCTCAGGGTATCTTGGCCATCATACTCTGGCTCACTTGGCCCTGGATTTATACTAAAGAATGGACTGTGAAAAGGAATAATTAACTCCACCAGAAAATCTTCCATATCTCTGTAGGGTCAGGGAGACTTGATCTGAAGGATCAGAGCCAATCAAATACATGGTTACAGAGGGGATAAGGCAATGGGGCCCTAGGACCCTGAGGAGCAGATCATTCAGAAGTCACTGGTGCCAAGAAAGATAGAAGACCAACTTTGAATAGAAAAGCTACTATACCAGGAGGTTCAAACAAGCATCCCCAAATTCTTCACAGGCCATCATGTGTCTTCGGGCAGCAGGCTCAGCACTGAGGTTTCCCAACAAAGCAATACATTGGCAGAGAGCTGAGGGACTGGTTAGCTTGATCTCTCTCTTCTACAAGATAATTAAGACAAGATAAAGTCTCAGAGAGCAGGTAAATAATGCCATAGGACTTTCTGGAAGTGTCCCTTGCTCACCAAAAGGCTGGGAACCAGAGAGCTAGCTCAGATGTCACACTGGGACGTCAATGAGGTCATCCTGGTCACAGGATGGAGTTATACACGTGGCCTCTCCACTAATCAGCTGCAAAATGCTGGGGTGTTATGCTCCCCAAGGGCTCCCTGAACCTTCTATGGCTTACCAGACACAACACACTCTCCAGGGGAGTTGCTGCTATCCTCTGCCTCACCCTTACATTGCTATACTCGTCTTCCTGGTGAGGATGATTTCTGTTCAGGGACAAGAGTCACAGGCCTTCCTGGTGACAATACTTTGTGTTAGGATGGAGACTGGCTCTCTCCCTACTGTCACATTAGATGCAGGCCACATGCAGCATTTTCTGCCCTGCAGCCAGCCCTGTCCATATGCCACTTCTACGTGTCCTGCCTGGAGTTGTTTTGATAACAGAGAATTGTGTACATTCCAGCTGTGAATATGTGATTAGTCAACCTGAGAGACAAGGGTGTTGGGATTCATATTGTCTTTCAACAGCTCTGTCCTGGCAAGTAAGTGTCTGCCATGGAGGAAAGACCTGGGGGTTTGCTCACCAGAACACCTGTGAGTGCAGGAAGAACACCTGGAAGGTTGGCCTGGAACCAGCCTTGGAATCTGTTGAGAAAACATCAGGCAGAATAGTCTTTAAATGGCACAAACTACACCATGAGGTTGGCATCTCAGACGCTGCGGCAGTTATAAGTAGGTCCTGCCTGATTTATACGTCCACACGTGCATAATTCATTCTGAGTCCAAAAAATTAAAAGTCACTGGGTCTGGCACATGGTTTACATTCTTCTAAGCCTGGAGACTTGTCTTTGATGCCAAACAGCAGATTTCAGACAACAGATCTCTTAAGCAGAAGTTGCTAGAATACCTAAGCTTCTGCCAGGCTGACTTCACATTCTTTCCCCTTGCTCAGTGTCTATACAGCCTGTGTACACTGTGCAGGTGGGAAACCCTGTGCAATCACGTTTGCTCATCACAACCACTGGGAAGGCCCACACACACATCACCCCTTGCCACCACAGCGTTCCAGTCCCAGCCCACACCAGCTGGCCTGATCATCTATAAGTATAGCTCTTTCTTCTAGGACTATTTCTAGGCAAGTCTCCTAATGTGTAACGGACATTGTATAAGCTTATAAGATGTGATTTAAGAAGTTATAATAATTCTGAAAACCAAGACCTTTACCATTTCCCTCTGTAGCTCAACACAAAACACAGGGCAGGAGATGGCTACTCAGTGTCAAGGAGAACCCAAGAGGAGAATCCATTCTCCTGTTGTTCTCTCTTGGGACTCTGCTCATTCAGCACAGACTTGCCAGGCAGTTACTATGCACCAGATGCTGATTAAGAGGGAAAAAGCTTCCCTGATCCATAGTTAGCATGTCTATTGCAAGAGGCACTGTTTTAAGTAGTCCTCCCCCGGTATCTGTACTGGGTTCCAGGACCCCATGAATATAAGCTCTGAAGATGCTCAAGGCCCTTATACAGAATGATGTAGTATTTGCATAGGCATGTCTATTGCAAGAGGCACTGTTTTAAGTAGTCCTCCCCCAGTATCTGTACTGGGTTCCAGGACCCCATGAATATCAGCTCTGAAGATGCTCAAGGCCCTTATACAGAATGATGTAGTATTTGCATATAATCTATGCACATTCTTCTTACACTTTAAACCATCTCTTTACACTTTAAACCATCTCTGATCACTAGTACTTATAATACTGAATGCAATATACGTGCTGCATAAACACCTATCACAGTATATTAGGGAAAGGGTTTGTATATGTTCAACACAGAAGCATTTTAAAGCATTTTTGAGCTGTGATTGAATCCTCAGATGTGAAATTCACAGATTCAAAGGGCTGACTGTTACTGTTTTCAAGCAGCTGAGGTCTGGGTCCCCCTCCACTTGGAGGAACTGGGCTGACAGCAGATGGCCATGGCCCTGAAAGCCACGGGCACTCCAACTCAGTGCATCCTGTGACGCTCTGCTGGACACTGGCCTGGCTTCTGTGGGTACTGCCATTTTCCAAAGACCATACAGCTCAGTACAGGTTGAAAAACTGTTAGTTTCTAGAAATGAAACAATTACCTTTCTTCCAGAACCAAGTCTGTGAGTACTCTGATGGCAATGTTCGCCTTCTTATCGGAGAAATCGAGAAACAACAGCAGGGCTTCAGATAATCTGCAAAACCCATTAAAAAAACCCTCACAAAACTCAGAATGGGCTGTTTTCCAACTCGTAGCATCCCCAACAAGGTGACCTTGTGAAGAATGCAGCAGAGTGTCAATATCTGGGAAAGAAAAGCTGAATGGACAGACCAGCCATGCTTGCCCGGGAAGGCTAGCTCCTCACCCACCCATAGACACTGACTGTCCTTCAGTGGTGGTTGTACAGCTGAAGAGATTTTCCTATGTGAATTCCAAGGTTGTTAAACAGTTTTAACCCAAGTCCACTTACCCAGAAACCAGCTTGGAAGGAGTTTCTGGTGTTCTGCCATGCCACTATGTCCCAGTCAAGTTCATTGACTCAGATGACATCTAAATGGCACACTTACTAATTTGCTCATGACTAAAGTGGGAGGGCCTCTAATAAGACAGGTGAGGGAATAAATATTTAACAAGATCTTGACGGGCTAATGAATACAGCAGATGAATTTGATAGGGTTAAACTTGCAGTTCTTTATTGAGAGCTAGAGATTCTGGGTAAGGAATGGAATGGGAGGCTGTGATACTGGTTTACATGGAGAAGAATTAAAGGTTTTGAGCTGATTGTAAACATAGTCTGGGCAAACAGTCTGATGCAGCTGCCAAGAGAGCTAATGTAATCTCAAGCTTCCCAGGCAGACTTACTGGCAGAACAATAGAAGTAAAAGCGATGAGCCCTCCACCAAGCACCTCCTGCATGCTGAGTACCGAACACCAAGCTCCTGGTCTACAGTGACCCATGTACAAATAATGAAGGAAGATAAACTGTGTAAGGGGGTGTGCTAGAATAGACACACGCTACGCGGGTCTCAGAGTCTACCTGGCAGGAGTTATGGGAGAGGGTGATGAAGACGACTTCAAGAGTATATGTCATCTCAGCTGCACCTTGAGAGACAGAGTTAGCTAATCTTTCATTTATTCATTCAATCAGCAGCACTGAACTAGCACTGAGATTGTCCTGAAAATGGGGTAAGTTCCAGAGCCACAAAGATGAAACAAGATACTGTCCTGGCTTCGAAGACCTCCAGTGTCACGCGTGTGGAGACAGGGCATGGCATGTCAGGCAGAGCAGGCTAAGATGGTCTCAGACCATGAGGCATCTTTGGAGATGGCTAGCAGCTCTTTACAGTTAATGCTTAGGATACAAGAGGAGAACAGAGCAGGGACGCAAGAGAGCCAGTTTGTGGTGGGTCTTCTAGGGCCTGCTATAAAGTTGGGACTTAACTCTCTTGGTCTACCTTCTCCAAAGTGTGATGGGTAGATGACTTGCAGCGTGAAAGTGCATGGGGTGGGGGTGGGGTGGGGCATAGATGCCCAGGCTGCTTGAAGCCTTTGAGGGAAGGAAGCTTGAGGAGGCTGCATTTTAACTAAGCCCCAGGTGACTCCTAGACATGGTATCTCAGGAGCTAGAAAGGTAGTCTTATAGGCAAGGGAGTCATTTCAGAATTTGAAATAGGAAAAACAACAGGACCAATACGCATTTTAGAAATGGTGTTTTGCTGGTTTAGTGGAGTCCAGACTGGAGGAGGGAGGACAGGGGACAGAGACTCCTACCAGAGAGATATGATCATCCTAATGGTGATGGGAAACCGACTACACTGTGGCTATGGTAAAATAACAGACACTGTTAAAAAGAAGGAACCATTGCAAAGACTGAGAAGGAGTGATGAGAGACAGAGGAGGAGGATGGGAAAGATGATCCAGGAGATGCTAATGAACAAGCTACTGTCCTGTGGCTATGGAGAGGGATGGTGCAGGTCAGCTCTAGGATTCTGACTTAGGCAAATGGGTGGATGGAAGTCCTCCATGAAGACAGGGAATTCATGTGGAGGACTGGTTCAAAGAATCACATTTTGATTTATTGTGATATTCATGAATGTTAAGAGAGAGAGAAAAGAATCCAGTAGCTGAAAGGTGTTACCATCTTGTACTTAAGAGAGGGACACAGACTGTGTCTCTTAAAGTCACAGATGAGAAGAAGGCCAGTTTAGGATCCTGGAATCCTTGGCTTGAAAGGATGACAGCATAAAGGGGTCTGTCAAGGGAATCCAAGAAGGAAAAGTTGGGAGAAAAGAAGAACAGAAAGACCAACATCCTGACAGCCGTGGTGTGATGCTTCAAGAAGGGTTTAGTCAAGAGGACCAAATGTCTCAGGTTGGTCAGCTGACAGCATGACCAGGAGAGCCCAGGGACTGGCTATTTCAGACTTTAGCCATTACCCACTTAGAAACGCTTCATGTTGTTTCTTGTTTATTCTTGAATTATAACTAGAAATCCATGGTACTGTTTATTAATATTTTTTGCTTTTACATTTTTCCTTTTTTGAATTTCATATATTCTGATCATATTTAGACCCTCTCTGGTATCTGTACCCCCTTAGTAACCCTCTACCAAATTTCCTGTACTCTAATATATATAATTAAGGCCCATAGAATCAAGTTTGTGTCCCTTTGATATGGGTTCATTCACTGGAGCCTGGTCAACCTACCAAGAGTCTCACCCTTAAATGAGCAGTCACTCACTTTTAATGTATTGGATCTGTTTAGTAGATTGTTCTGGGAGGGCCCAAAATCACCCGAGGAATGGTCTATAGAAGTAGGATGCTTGACCTGGGAAAGACTGGTGTCTTCAGATACCCATAGCAGTAGATAGTTGTGGGATCTGATGTACTCTGCAGACCTTCCATAGTCTGGGTCTGGCCTCACACAGAAAGGGTAACTCTGGAAGTGGATGGGCTTCCTGGAGAGGCGAGTCCACATCTTCGCTAGCTAGGAAGATTCCCCCTCCCACAACCCCAGTCCATGAGCTGTGTTAATGCCTGGTTCAAATCAAATAGAAGTAAATACAGTGAAACTGCGGGATCTTCCCCAGGGAAAGTGCTTGGGTTGAACTGAGCCATTGCAGAGGGGCACCCGTGCTGGGTTGGGCTGGGCTGAGTGGTGTCTAAGGCTCTGGTGACTCCAAGCTTCTGCAAATGTTTGACTTCCTCCAGAGTATACTTCAGTGTGTTGCTGTTAGAAACAATCTGTTTTAGAGTTAGTCTGTATTCTTCCTCTACCAATTTAAATCTGTTTTCTTGGTCTTGAAGATGAATGCTAATGAACCTGAATAGCACAGAGAACGAGACAACAGTCAGATTGTCCTGGTTTAGTCTTGGGAGACATAAACAAGCAGGCTCCGTCACCGTGTGACCAGCCGCTTATCCTAATTATTCTCATTGCCCACAGAGGACAGTGTGTCCCTTTCCACCTCCTCTTGCTCAGAGGCAGATTTTCTGCTCTGTTGACAAGCAGTTGTCCCTATGAATGGGTCACAGGTCAGAGAATTGTCTCCTGTAGCCAATAAATGCACTACCATCTCAGTTTAGTACCTTGACTAATATACCCTAAAGAGATAAAATGATTATCAAAATATTGTTGCGTTCATACCAAGTGTCAGACATGGACATCGGCTTTTCTTACTGTGGCAGAAGCTGTTTGCTGGCTAGTGCCACAGACATAACCACTCTCTTCCATTCTGCCTGATTCTGCCGTGGAAGCTCACACTATCCTCCTCACCAGGGGTGGCTTGAGACACATTCTAAGGGCAGATCCAATTGGTGCTAAGCTGTGTTAAACAGGGATATGAGGCTTGGCGTTGAGGTATAGCAATGAAGGAGAGGTAAAGGGAAGGATAGAGACCTTGATGTTGGCATCTTTAAGTCACCAGTTGCTACACTTAGTTTCTTTTTAATAAGTGGGGAAAACAAGCCAGGCCCTATTTTGCTTAAGCTCCCTTGGTTAAGCATTCTGTATAAAGGAGGCAGCAGAAAAAAATCTTAACTGACAAACATATCATCCCTGTGGAGTTTCTTTTGGGGGGGGGTTGTTCTGGGGATTGAACCCTAATATTCTTGCATGTACTAGGTAAGCCCTCTACTACTGAGACACATCCCCAGCCCATTGTCCCTCTTAAGTATCATCCTAAGTCTGTGATACAGATGAGGTGGTGTATAACTTTCTTAAGTCACATAAGTTAAAAGAGACATGCAGAGAGTTTAAGCTCAGGACTGCATGCCTCTAAATACCCAGTGCTTCTGACAAAGGGTGTCCTTCCTGCCAGGACACGTTCTTCCTTAGTTCTCACTTGATGGAAACATTTTGGGGGGACTGTGAACTCTGTGCCTCTGTGAGGGGCATGGGCCGATGTGCTGCCCTGTCCTGCTTCAAACCACCTCATTTCATCTCAGTGAACTGACTGTCTCCTCCTGTTTACCTGAAGATGGATGTGAGCAAGACTAGGGGGCATGGGAGTAATAAGCTGAGGTTTCTCTGATGATAGGCAAGACTGTATCAAGGTGATAAACACAGCTCTCTAAGACATTGGAAAAGTTCAAGTTGAAACTTCAGCAATTCAAAGATAGCTTGGGGGAAAGTTCTTATGATCACTATAGTGATAGCTACTCAGAAAAAAAGGAAAATGAAAAGAAAGAAACACATGCTGAAGGAGTTGAGGAAACAGCGGCTGAGTCACCTGAAAGTGAGATGTGCTTTGGAGAATTTAACTCCACTAACAACCCATCTGCCCAGTGGGCAGAGCTTTGGGAGTTGTTAAGGTCTTTCCTGGGAACCCCTGGGCTACCACTGGAAAGAAACAGAGATGGAAACCTTAGTGGAGGCTGAAAGACCAGCCTGTCCTCAGTATACAATGGACTCCTCACTGGATGGGGAGTTGGAAGGGGGGCTCTGCCTGATGCAGAGACTGACTTCTTACAGGAGATGGGGGGAGAGAAGGAGGGAGGGCGAAGGAGGGAGGGAGGGCGGGAGGGAGAGGGAGAGGGAGAGAGAGAGTGAGTGAGAGAGAGAGAGAGAGAGACATGTGAGGTACCCTGGCTGCTTGCTGTGGCTCTCCTGCCCCCTCCATGAATGGAGTAGTAATACCTGCCTTACCACAGGAGATAAAACAAGATGATAGTGGAAACAAAAAAACCTGGAAAGTTAACTTATGTTTTGAAGTTATGTCTGAAATGTGTATAAATCAGGCTACATTTCTATCAGGATGAGGCTCACGAAGCGGCTGACACACAACCTTTCTTATCTAAAACCATGGCATGGCAATTTCATAGGTTCAAACTTATTATCAGAAGACCAAGAAGCTGAACATAAATTAAAAATAAATAAAACGTGCTGGAGTGATAGCTCAGTCAGGAAAAGTACTTGCCAGGAAAACAAGACCTGATTTGATCCACAATACCCATGTAAAAAGCGGGTCGTGGTGACCATACACTTCCAGCCCCAGTATGGAGAGGCAGAGACAGGTGGATCCGTAGGCTCACTGACCAACCAGTCTCGCCTAACCAGGGAACCCTGGATCCCAGTGAAAGACGCTATCTCAAAAAACAAGGAAGAACAACACCCAAGACTTTGGCTTCCACAAGCATGCATATATGTACACACTTGCACATATAAGTGTATCTATACACCTATGTACACTGGCTCACATACAAACACACATGCCTGTATTTGCACATACACAGACATACAGATAAACACAAACATACAATTCTGCAGTTAAATAAGAAAAAAACATAAATATAAATCAATAAATTAATTAAATAATTTGAAAAGCACAAGGTAGAGACATTGTGGTTCAAGTGAGATTCTTTTGGAGAATCTTAGGAAACAGGCACATATCATCCCTATGTATTTCAGTCTTGCAAAGATCTCCAAGAAGCAGCATTTGTTTTATTAATTTATACTCTCCTCTTTCAGAAATGGTTTAAGGATGTGAAAAAAAGAGACAGTGTTGTATTAATATGGTATCAAACAGGAGGAGAGAAGAAAAGTGAGGGGTGGAACGGGGTGGAACCAGCCCTGAGGTGAACAGAGCAGAGGTGAGCAACCCATTTGCAGGCTGGTTTCCCAGTCTGGCTATAGAGGTGTCACCAACAACACATTCAACAGCACCCACTTGTCAGGAGAAATGTAACTGCCGACGGTCCTGAGTTTAGCCAGGAGCTTGTCCCAGACACCTAGTGACAAAGTTCCCATCAAAGGCCCTTTCTGCTACTGATCCTTCATAAAGTCTGATGGCAGCCACACACCACAGACAGGAGGAAGGGCCTTGTCTACTGAGTGATGGATGGCTTGAGGAGCCATAAGGAAGATCCCAGTAGCACAGCCTTACCTGGTCAGGTCAAGGTGGCTGATGACCTGGTTCCGGCCATTCTCTGTCTGGGTGAGTTGCGACAGTAGGTCTAGGCTCTGCTGCTGAATAAGTAGGACTCTGGAATTCAACAGGGAGGGCAGAAGCCTGGGCATGTCAGGGTGGGTCACAAGCAGATGCTGGTTTTCCTCTGCAAAACACAGGTGTTTTTCTATCTTGAGCTGTGATGGCAACCCATAAGCCAGCTCTGTTTCCTACCACCCTGATGCAGAGCTGACTCTTTTCCACAAACTTGTGAGGCTGTTTAATGACATATAAGGGCAGGACTCCAGAGTCAGCTGCTGGGTCTGAATGAACAGGGGAAGGACCTTGGCCAAAGACTAAGTCCTGTGCCCCTCAGTGTCCTCATCAGTAAAAGAAGCGTGATGACCTATGTACTAAAGTTGTTAGGAGGATTTGATGAGCCAGTGCATGATGGTGATGGAGAGACTGGGCACACACAGATTGACTATATTATTATCATTATTATCAAAAGCTTTCTCAGTGTGTGGAAATGGAGGGGAGGGAAAACAATCAGATTAATTGTGGGATCTCTTTAAAAGCATCCATCTTCATGTAATGCCAGAGCAACTGATCGTGTTCTTCCTAGGAAACTAGGATATCATGTGAGAAAACTGATTACTAACACATGCCCTCCATCCTAGCTATGTGCTATGTCTAGGGTAATGGTATTGAATTTACCCCCTTTCACTTGCTTCGGCTTCGTGTTCTGAGCAGGTACCAGGAGCAGGCAGGACTCAGGAGTATGAGACTAAGTTATATGTGTCATAACACACAGCAGAACAACCTAGAGGGACGGTGTTATGGTTTGGATCTGCAGTGTCCCCCAAAGGCTCATGTGTTAAAGGTCTGGTTGCCTATCTTTGGGGAGGTGATGATCCATAAGAGATCAGTCATTTTAATATAATAAACTGTTAATCATTAAGCTGGATGTGGTGGCACATACCTTTAATCCCAGCTATCAGGAGGCAGAAGCAGGCAGATCTCTGTGAGTTCTAGGCCAGTCTGGTCTACATGGCAAGTTCCAGACCAGTCAGAGCTACATAGTGAGACCCTGGCTCAAAAAAATAAAAAACAAAAAAATAAAAAATAAATAAATAATTAAAGCAAGCAAACAAACAATCATGAAAAGAATAAAACATTATACATCCTACCTTGGAACTGACTTCTCTCCTCACCCAAACAATACGTCACCTATGTATTTTCACGTTCTTAGTTTTAAGTATTCTCTGGCTCCCTTTAAAAAATGTTTTGGCAGGGGCATGGTAGTGCACGCCTTTAATCCCAGCACTTGGGGGGGCAGAGGCAAGCTGATCTTTGTGAGTTCAAGGCCAGTCTGGTCTCCATAGGGAATCCAGATGAGCTGTGGCTACAGGGAGACCCTGTCTCAAAAAGACCAAAAATAAATAAATAAATAATAAATAAATAAATAAATAAATAGATGTTTTGTATTTACTGATTTAGACACATCAAGATTCCATGAGTTTGAGATACAGCATATTACATAAATCCTAGGCAGTATCTGACAATATTTTTCAGATGGTAAAACAAACTAACCCTAAGGCTCAGAAAAGCCAAAGTATCTGGGCTGTTGTGTCTGATTCATATAAACACATGGTTTCAAAGTGTTGTCTTCCTTACCCTCCTGTAGACAAGGCTTGAAAAATGCACAGCCCTGAGCGATATGGGGTGCTATTCAGAAGAGCAAGGCACCTCGATAGTTTTTTTGGGTGTGTGTATGTTCGTGTGTGTGTGTGTGTGTGTTTGTGTGTGTGTATGTTTATGTTCATGTGTGTGTGGGTGCATATGCATGGACACAGAGGCCAGAGGACAACCTCTGCTGTCAATCCACAGGCACCACTCAAATCTTTTGTGTTGCTGTTGCTGTTGATGTTACTGTCTGTTTTGTTTTCTGAGTCAAAGTCTCACTGACCTGGAACTCACCAAGTAGGCCAGGCAGCTGATCAGTGAGCCTCAGAGATCCACCAATTTCCACATCCCCAGCACTGGGATCACATGTGTACATGTGTACCTAGCCTGGCTTTTTTTTTAATGGGTTCTGGGGACTGAGTTTAGATCCTTGCCTTTACCAACTGAATCCTTCAGCAAATGGGCTTCCTGCCTGTCTCGTTCTCTGTGGCCTACTCTAAGTCCTTGATTCTTCTGCTCTACTAAATAAAGGGCGATCATTTCCTCACACTCGGCATTGTACAGAGCAGAACCGTTTGCAAGCTCTGCCTTGTGGGATGAAGATAAAGCAACCACTGTCCTCATTTTCAGTGCTTCCTGTCCCAAGGTCAAACCTTTTTCCTATGAGACACATTTCATTAAGATGAAGGAAATAAAATTGTAATTTACATGGAAGCCACAAAGATCGTACAAGAACTTAATGAACTCCAGAGGATGCTGTGCGAAGAAAGGTTATAGTTGACAAAATAAAATCCCTCTGGTATTTTACTATCTCAGTAACAGACAATAGTCAGTGCCTGAAGATGTTGGCCTGTGGTCAGACATCTCAAGATGCTGAAAGGGGGTATTCAGTCTACACCACTGCTGCCACATGAGCAGAAGTCATGAGTCTGCAGAGCAGGGAGCAGCCCAGGGGAGACGACTCATCATGCTGACAGTGACCTTGCGGACCTTCTACTCCGGCATCCTGATGCTGAGGAAGAGGCAGATATTGGGGGATTAACTGCAATGTTAATCTTGCTTTTGATTCATGTATTTTTTGAAGGACAAGGGAGTAGAAGTCTAGACACCAACTCTCCCCAGCCTGGCCTTCAGGGACACTCAGCATGCTGGACCAAGCACAGCGCTCACTTCTGGGGCATGTGACTGGTAATTAACAGTGATGAGCCAGGCTTACCATTCTCACTGCATACTGCTTGCCAGAGCTTAAGAACAGCCACACAGAGGATCTCTTCCACTGCATCTTTCCCTACTGCAAAAAGGCACCTGGAGAAGTCAGGGAGAGCAATACTGAAGCTGTAAATCTTGTTTTATTTTCTTGTTTTTTTTAAACTGAATTTTACCCCCAGACTCACCAACACAAGCTTAAGAGAATAATTAAAAAGAATTCATACCCTGGTCTTAAACACCCAAAAGGAAAGTATAACCAAAGATTAAAGTGATCAGTTTATTTCTTTAAGAGTTCAAAGGATTACACTTCCCAGACATGAGGCGTAAGTCCATATAAAATGTTATTTAGACAATTGTTTCTCATTGATGATTTTGTTTCTAGTCAGAAAGTGCTGCTCAGATATAAGACTGCAAACCTTGGTCTGCAATACTGTAGTGCCCATGGTAGCTAAGGGAGACAACCCATTACTGTTCTAAAATGATGGCTAGATTTGTTTTCTTCCCCTATCTAGAAGCCTTTGAGAGAGAACTGACACTGATTCTAGCCACTCCAACAGCTATCAAAGTGCCTAAAAACAAATCCTTAATCCATCACTCTCGAGTCCAGCCTCGGCAGACAAAAGAAAAATGAGGAGGAACTCAATAGAAGGATGCTTTTGGAGGCTCTGGTCAAGAAACTCCAATGGACTCTGATATGAACATTTGAAATTTGCCCTGTTCTGACTTTTTTGTAGTTCCCTGTCTAGAACTTATAACTCTAACTACTCTTGCCTTTACTTCTCCTTCACATCTCCTAGTCACGATTCAAGGATTTTTTTTCCCCTAGAGATAAGAGTTATGCAATTTGGGAGTCTTTTAAATAGACCCACTGAAGGGGTACCCCAATTGCCTTACCCTGTGTCCCTGTTCAGCATGGAAAAGGCCAGAGCAGTCTGTGTCCTGATTTCCTATTGGCAATTTGGGTTACCCCTTCAGAGGATGGTGTGATAAGAACAGGAGGTAGGAATTGGCTAGGCAGTTAGGGTAAAAGATTTTAGGGTTACTTCTTCAGAGGGGGGGAATGTTAGAGTAGCAAAAAGCTCCCCACCCCAAAAGAAAGACTACATGAAGTTGTCAGAAAAAAGTGATGGGGAGATATGGAGGAGTTGGAGGGGAGGGAATGGGTTTTGGATTTGACAAAACATAGTATATGCATGTATGAAATTCTCATTATTTTTTTTTAAGTTAAAAAATCAGTTCATACCCATAGGTAACCAGGAGTCTGACAATCACTGAGCCCAAAGTTCCAGGTCAAGGGCAAGAGTGAAAATGCATGTAGGGATGGAGGCTGGAGAGATGGCTCAGCAGTTAAGAGCACTGGCTGCTCTTGACAGGATCTGCGTTTGGCTCCCAGCACTCATGACACAGCTATTGACCATCCTTAACTCCAGTTCCAGGGGTACTATGCCCTCTTCTGACCCCATGGATCATTGCACACACATGGTGTACTTACATACATGCAGGGAAAATACTCATACACATAAAAATTTTAAAAATAAAGAAGGAAGGAAAGAACGAAGAGAGGAGGAAGGAAGGAAAGAAGGGAGGGAGGGAAAGAGGGAGGAAGAGAGGGAGGTGGGGGGGAGGGAAGGAGGGAGGAAGGGAGGGAAAGGAAAATACAGGGCTAAGTGGATGGGTGCACAGAGGGCGGTGAGCAGCCAGGGACCATGGATAATAAGTGGACATGAAAATATCCAACTCACATCAGGATCTAAGCTCAGCACACCATTTCCTCCCAAGTAGGTCTTTCTTTAGATGAAATTCTAAATGGCACTAGCCAGGACCCAGTTTACTGTACTTTTTTAAATGACCCACAAATTCCAAAAGAGGAAAAAGAACAAATGGCAATTTTGCAGATGCTGGTGGGAAGCCATAGGAATGGTCATTTTTCTGAGCATTCTGAAGTGTGGAGAGCAGCTGTGGCACAGGCTGCTCTTCCTCGCTTTCCAGCTGTTAACTGCAGTATGACCCAAAGGCCCAAGGCTCCAAGCTTAAGAAGGGTTCGAGGGGTAGCTCTGGGCCCCTCGAAGGGGTCCCTCTGCTGATTGAGGCCAAGGATGCAGAGTAAGATCATTGTCTGTGTGAACAGCATCTGATTTCACATACATGACTATCTGTTCTTGCCTTGACACTGGGCTGTTCCAAACATCCTACCTTCTTATGACCTCATTGTCACTGATGGCGTGGAATCCACCGTGTGTTCTGAATAAGGTTCGCTCTGTGCCTGAAATCAATCCATAAGAACCAGGTCGGTCAGGCTCCTGACCCACCCAGAATGGCATCTAGATATAGCACAGCCCCTGGCATGGAAGACCAAAGTCGCCAAATGTCTAGTTGGACCTTCACACCCCGAGAAATGCCACTGCCATTAGCCATTCATCCTGCTTCAGTCAGAGGGACTATGTACAGAAGGTGGAGATGGATGGTCCTGCAAGTTAGTGGCACAATTCATTGCCTGCAATTTTTAGAGAGCCTCCAGGGGCTGCTTAATCTCTGAAAAGAACCTGAAAACTATTTGATTCTAGATTTTTATTTCAAAGCTGCTTCCCAGCTCTAGAAAGGAACTTAAAATCTCCAAAAAACTGCTGAAGGGGCCTCCATTGTATGGTAAAGGGAAATCAGAGATTTCATCCATTTGTAAAAAGGACGTTCTGACATGAACAACAATTTAAGCCTTGGCATCCTGTTTACAAGAATTGGTAAGAGAATGATATACCTCTCATTAGGAAAGGGAGCTGCTTCCTCTGAAACCATTTTCTTGTTCTAAACAGTCATTAAGTGTAACTGGGGGTGGGAACTAGAGAAATGGCTCAGCAGTAGGAGTGGGTACTATTCTTGCAGAGGACCTGGGCTTGGTTCCCAGAAGCTACATCAGGCAGCTCTCAACTTCCTGTAACTCCAGTTTCAGGAGATCTGACACCTGCTGGGTTTTATAGGCACCTACACATATGTGGTACATATAACTCACATATATACTCATAAATTTTTAAAAATCCATAAAAAATTTTTAAAATGTTGGGGGCTAGAGCGACGGCTCAGTGATTAAGAGCACTGGCTGCTCTTGCAGAGGACCTGGCTTCAATTAATGCACCCACATAGCGGCTAACAGCCATAACGTAACTCAAGTTCCAGGGGATCCGATGTCTTCTTCTGACCTCCATGGGCACTGCAGGACACAGATGAGCTTACATATATGCAGGCAATACACTCATACACATAAAATAAAAATAATAAATAAATCGCTTTTTAAGTGCAACTGGAGTGAGTCCTAAAGTTTATCTTAATAGAATTCTTCTCTTTCTGTGTGGAGTGAGGTGTTTGCATGGCATAGGATGTTTAGAGTGGATGGGGGGGTATGTGGGTGTGAGCAAGATGTGTGGAACATGTGTAAGGACTGAGTGTACAGAATAAATGCATTGATATAAATATTTATGGCATGAGTAGGACATGTATATATGTAATATTACACACACACGTACATATACCAGTAAATACTGTGTCTGGTGCATGTAATATAAATATATAGTAAAATATGTAATACAGTAAATATGTAATATAAATATAGTAAAATATGTACTATATATAGGCCACATGCATGCCTTATGTTGTGCTGTGTGGTGTTTATTACATGAGTGTTGAGTTTATGAATTCTTGAAGAGGATGAGGCAGAGGTGGAGGTATATTTCTTGCATACTCTCTTTTTTAAAATTTTATTATTTTTATTTTATGTGTATGAGTGTATTGCCTACATATAGGTAAGTGCATCTGTGTCATGCAATGCCCGTGAGGAACGAAGAGGCCGTCGATCCCCTGGAACTTCAGTTACGGACAGTTGTTAGCTGCCATGTGGGTGCTGGGATTTGAACCCGGGTCTTGCAAGAACAACCAGTGTTCTTAGCCGCTGAGCCATCTCTCCAGCCCCTTGCATACCCTCTTTAGCACTTACATTAGAGTAGATCTTCAATCAGTATTTGTGGAAGGGAGGGGTTCTTTGTCTCCTACAGCCAGACCTCCAGACCCTGTGCCTTCACACTGACAACACTCATGGGACCACATGTATCTTTAGCTTACAATCCTTCATCATTTCTGTCAGGATCTCGATGCCTCCTGCATAGAACAAGGGTGTCTGGCCAGGCATGGATAGGGTTTCCAGAAGTTTTTTGGTTGTCATTGCTGCGTTCTTTCCTGATTCCAGAGCTTCATGGGCTTCCTTCTCTTGAAGATCTGCCTTTTCTCGAAGAGTTACTTGATTTAGGTATTCTAGCAAAACAAGCAGAAAGAAAAGAAAACAAAACGATGCTCTAACAATCTACAACATCCTTCAAGAAGCTCCTTTCCCCCTCCCACTTTCCTTTCCTCTCGTCCTCCATTCTCCATGCCCTTCTTTTCCTCCTTTAAGGATGGGCAATACATAGCATTAAAATAATTCAAACTCTTCTTCAGGAAGGAAGAGTTTGAACAATGTAAGATCTATACAGAGTCTTACAGCATCTTGGAAATTCAGGGCTGTGTGGAAGGATGGCACAGAAGAGAAATGTAGGACTGCAAACATTTGAACATAGCAGAGGGAAGAGCAGAGGGGGGCCCGTTAGCACGGGGGCTGGACGGCAGGAAAAGCAAGGCTGTTGCCTTGACCAGGGCAGAGAAGGTAGGGGGGCCCCTCCATGAGAGGAGCACAAAAGGACTGGGATGGACAGCAGCAGTGGGGACCTTCTCACCTTTCACCTGCGTCTGCAGCTTGGGGTTTATTTCTAAGATCTTCCGATAACACTCTCTAGACTGGAAAACAGAAACAAGACCTTGAAGGTGGTTAGGGGTAACAGTGATTACAAGGTGGACACCGGGCACCCCAGGGCTTGGTGCCTTCATTATCTCCTTCTACCCTCCCCCTGCTCCCAGCATAGACGGCGGACATGGAGAATGCTGTGCTTTTGATATTTTTGTTTGGGCTTTTCAGGTTCTGTGGGGGAGATAGGTATTATTTCAAAATTCATCTTTAAAACTTGTTTGTCAGATACACACTGTGATGTGAAATACCCAGCCTTGAATTTTTATGAATCATGTCTGCTTGGGATAAGAATCATAATGAATATGCAAAACTTAGATAGGATATTTGCACTAACAAGGGGGTGCTTATGATATATTCCCAAGGGAGGTAGGACGTAAAACTGGAGACTATGTTGATTGAGACTCAGGAATAGGTAAAATAAACTGCCTGGAGTTAGACATACAGACTACAAGGGAAGTCAGTGAAGAGTCCAGTCACCAGCCACATCTAATTCAGTTGGAACACTTGACAGTGAGGGGCTCTATCCAACATAGCTGTTAGATAAGTTTCTAGGAAAAGAAAGACCAGTTCAGGGGGATTTCTGGGTTAAGGCATTATTACCTATATAGATAGAAGAGATTCCCAGAGAGTGACAGAATCAATCTCCAAGAGAAACAGCTAAGGAAATAAACAGTTCTATCTTGAAGGTTGATGGAGCTCATCTAGAAGACAGAGATTATGAACGGACAGAAGAGGCTGTCCAGATGGCTTAGTGTTGTTTGTTCAGGCCATAGTATAGATAAGTTCTTCACTTTTATTGCTGAATAATATTCCATTGTATGACAATAACTATGCTATATTCTATTTATTCATCAGCTGAGGAACATTTAGGTTATTTAAACACATGACTCCAATGAATAATGCTGCTACGAACATCCACGTGCAAGGTTTTTATGTTCATCATCCTCTTCAGCATATATCTAGGAGTGGAATTGCAGAGTCATGGTAGAACTATGTTTAGCCTTTGGAGGAGCTACTGAGCTGTTTTCCAATGTGGCTACAGCATTTTGTGTTTCTACCCAGGTGTAGGAGGCTCCCAGTTTCTTAGCATCCTTACTGGTACTTGTGACTATCTGTCTTTTGATTATGTCTGCTTGAGGGATGTCACTTGATACCTCGCTATGGTTTTGACTTGTATTCCCTGATTGGCAAATGGTAGATATTGTCTCATCTGCTTATGGCCATCTGTGTAACACAGAAAAACTAGCAGTCAGTTAAGATTGAGTGAGGAATGAGGGCAGAATGTGATTCCTAATGACTGCCTGGTGTGTGTGTGTGTGTGTGTGTGTGTGTGTCTGTGTGTGTGTGTGCTTTAAAGGAAGTGGCAAAAGGATGATAGGAATGTGGTGATATTTGGCCACTGTGAAGATGATAAAAGCCACTGACTGTATACTATTAAACTGTATGGCATATGAATACATGTCAATAAAGCTGTGATTAAGCTCACCTGATTCCTACAAGGAGTGGGGCTGTCCCAAACTTCATCCAACACCCTTCCCAACTCTTAGGTTCTAAGACCAGAAAATACTAAAAGTATAACATCCAAGTGACCTGAAGGCACATGGTTCCCCTAAGGCACAGCTGGGAGTGACACTCTGTGATCCAACATGCCACTTACGTTCCTCTAAGAACTCACCACACTGTAGTTCTTCAAAGCCAGGTGGGCTTTTCCCATGTGGAAATAGGCTTTTGTGCATTTCTCATCACACTGCATAAAAGAGAATGACTGATCAGCTGTTTCAGAAGATGTGACGTCATTAGGCCCTTCCCTGCCGGGCCTACCTAATAGAACGAGGCAACACTTTGGTTCTCAGGATGGCTACCAGAGTTGACAATTAAAGCTTTTCTGTCCATCTGTGACCAAGCTAATTGCTGCCTGCAAGGAGCTGGGATGCATGAGCAAGCTCTATCAAATTAGTGATACCTGCCAGTTTTCACTTCCACTTAATGAGACTCATTCAGGAAGCCAATGCAGAAACCCTTTGCCTTAGAAGAGCCCTCAAGATTGGCTGAACTTTTGAATCACCTGGGATGCTCATAAATATCCTGACTTGGCTGTTCCTATGACAAATAAATGTCTAAGTGAGGCCTGGACATAAATAAGTTTTCTGCTCTCCAAGTGATATAACTGTGTGGCTAAGTTTGAGAACTACTGGCTTACTAGTAGCCAGACTTCTCTCTGGGAAACAGTCACGGTTACCAGTGTATCTTAGTGGGCCAAGGAATTGCTTCCTTGCAACTAAGCCACAGTCTGTACACTGGTGTAACACACATTGTATTAAAAAAACTGTCATGTGTTCTTTGATCTAACTGAGAAGCCAGATCTGGAAGTAGGGTTGTTCCTTACCCCATTTCAGACTCAAGCATGTTTGTCTCAAAGTGTCCTCCAAAGCCCCGTCTGGGAATGCACTGGCCCTCTTAAGTTTGTGATAGGTAAGAGAGAATAGAAAAACAGCCCAAGATAAGGACATCATGTCCTTGAGAGCAGGTAGGTGAGCCATTTCCAGCATAGGCTACTGTTGTTTATTCTGAGATAGAAAAGTGTCCACACTGGGAAAGGGACACTGGAAGTTCAGACACAGGAAGTTCATTCCAAGTTCAACTGGGAGATCCAGCTGATGGCCTCAATGTGCCAATCAGTTTCTACTTGATGTTGTGAGCACTTGATTTGATGATGTTTTCTCTACCTGTTGCTATTTGTTGTTTTACTTGAAAGCCTCACCCAAAGGGGCTCCTATAGTCAATTTCTGCTGGATGTTATGAGTATCTGGTTTGAAGATATTTTTTTCTCTCTCTCTCACTTTCTCTTTCACTCATTCATTTGCTTGCTATTTATTCTTTTACTCTGGCTTGCTACATAATAAACTCACTCATTCAAAACTGAAAGTATGGGCATAGCATAGTAGGTCATTCTCTGGACCATACAGAGCATTTGTGAACTCACATTCCTGTCACTTAGGATCTAGATGGATGCCCCTGTCAAAAGGGAGGATGGAAACATGCAGCTCAGGATATGCCATTCATAGAGGAACCCTGCCCCTGCCTGGTCCTCCTGATTATAAGTCTGCAGGGAGCCATCTGACCAGACACATGAACTAAATTTTGAAACATCAGTTAATTAACCTTCACTGAACCCCCCTTTAGGAGTAAGGCATTGAGTCAGCTGAGATGTCCTTTATGGGTTAGATTTAAAAGGGTCAGGAGGTCAGGCCAGAATGTCCTGGGTGAATCCTTATTCTGTCACTCTCCAGTGTGGAATGTTGGCTAGGCCACTGACCTTTTGGAACATCATTTTCTTTATCTTGGAATGGGAATATAACAACAACAACAACAACAATAATAATCTCTCTTTCTCCCTTTTTTGTGTCCCTTGTTGTGAGGAAGAATCATGTAAAATACTTAACAGTGTTTGGTGATACTTCATCTGCTGCTGTTGCTGTGGTTACAGCAGCAGTGACCCATTTCAGAGCAAATGTGATTTAAAGAAAGGCCAAATAATAATAAAAAGGAGAATAATCGTTAGAAAGTTTTGTAAGTGTATGTTTATATATATTATGTTGTGATTTACTGCTAAGTGAATGGAAGTCATAAAGAATAAGAAGAAAATGCAATAGTCTGTTCCATGAGTTAGGCTTTGGACTTGACACATACGATCTCATGTTAATAATAAGAACATACCACTATGCAGTCTGTTCCATGTGCTATAGGCTTTGGACTTGATGGCTCATACAATCTCATGTAAGCCTTATATTAACTCAGGGAAGCAGGTACAATTTTCTCTATTTCACAGATGAGGAGTCTAGAGAGTCAATATAATTGGGATATGGAAGAGTTGGAATTTGGAATCTGGCCACTTA